AAAAAAAAAAAAAAAAAAAAAAGATTTGCTATAATATAACAGCAATAAATATTTAATATTTAAAAAATAGTAAAAAGTTTTAAAAGGTGCTATAAAAACAAAAATTTTAAAATTTTAAAAAAGATGTGCTAGACACGTACTATGTGTATGTGTGTATGCGTGTGTGTGTTTCAATCCTTGTAATGACTTTATGAATAGGCACTTCACAGACAAGAAAACAAAAATTCTAAGTAATTTAATAGTAGTTTGCCTGATGTTCTAGAGTTAGTAAGAAGTGTGGTCGCTCATGCCTGTAATCCCAGCACTTTGGGAAGTCAAGACAGGGGGACTGCTTGAGCTCAGAAGTTTGAGACCAGCCTGGGAAATATAGTGAGATCTCAGTTCTACTGAAAATGTAAAAAATTCACTAAATGTGGTGGCATGCACCTGTAGTCTCAGCTACTTGGGAGGCTGAGATTGGAGGACTGCTTGAGCCCAGGAAGTAGAGACTACAGTGAACCACTGTACTCCAGCCTGGGCAACTGAGTGAGACCCTGTCTAAAATAAAATAAAATAAACCACTTTTTTCCCCTTGGCACCTACTGAATACTCAATCCTGGGAATAGTAAAAATAAAAATAACAACTCTGAGAGTATATTGGAACAAAGGGATAGGTACAGAGACAGAGATATATACAATTAAATGCTTTAAATCTCAGTGAATACAGGCTGGAATACCAAGGGTCAAGATGTAAATGCCTTGAAAATTCAGAGAAGGGAAAATGTCATGTCAATCTCCAGAGGCTTTCTGAGAAAGGTAAAGATTGAGTCAAGCATTAGAGGAGAGGAGAAAAAGAAAGAAGGTATGAAAATGAAGCCACACAATACACTGCCCACATCTCTGCCAGGGAAGTCAATTTCATACAGATGCAGACTAGAATAAATATAGAAGGCCATATACTGAGTAAGTAAGAGTACTACCCCTAGAAAACTATGAGAAGGGATCCCAGATCTGCTATCCACTAATTCCATGACTGGGCAATTACTTGAGCTCTCTGAAACTTAGTTTCCTCATCTGGAAAATGAGGATAATAAAAACCCTATGTCATATTGTTTCGGTTATTCAGCATTTAATTCTTCCTCCTTTATTCTGGAAGACTCCTCCTTGGATATAGTCTCAATGGAAAACTCTGCCCTGGGCAACCAAAGTAAGTGAGGGAACGTGACCTGGGTTCAGCCACTAGGTGTAGCTTTCAAGAGCTTTAGTTCTTGATCAAGAGATGCAAACTTAGGCTGGGCATGGTGGCTCATGCCTGTAATCCTAGCACTTTGGGAGGCATAGGCGGATGGATTACTTGAGGTCAGGAGTTCGAGACCAGCCTGACCAAAATAGGGAAACACACTCTCTACTAAAACACCCTGTCTACTAAAATAAATACATATATATATATGCACAAAAATTAGCCAGGTGTGGTGGCGGGTGCCTGTAATCCCAGCTACTCGGGAAACTGAGGCAGGAGAATTGCTTGAAACCAAGAAGTGAAGGTTGCAGTGAGTAGAGATCGTGCCACTGCACTCCAGACTGGGCAACAGAGCAAGACTTTG